GCCAGGACCATAGCACCACCTTCGAGGTAGAACTCTCGTGTGTTGTGGTCGCGCTGCACAGACGCTGTCAAACCAGCTGCCGAAGATCCTTTTCCTGAGGTATAGATGGCAATGGGTGACACTTTCTCGACGAACTTCAAGAGTTGCGATTTGGCGGTACCGGGGTCACCCAAGAGGAGTACGTTGATGTCTCCACGCAGCTTCATCCCGTCCGGCAGGATCTTCTTTGCGCCACCCATCAGTAAGCAAGCGATAGCCTTCTTGATGTCCTGGTTTCCGTAGATAGAGGGTGCGATGCAGCGTGCGAAGACTTCGTAGATGTCGGGCCTCCTGCTCATCTCCAAGAATTCTTGTTCCTCTTCCTCGGTAAAGACAGCGTTGCCTTTGCTGCCGTGGTCCACCTCAGCGTGTATGCCGACAGCGCGTATGTATGGGTTGCGAATGGCTACTGCGGCGTTGCCTGCACGCCTCGAACCCTTCTGCTGGTAGATAGAGAAGACACCCATCACTGAACACCGTGTACCCGGAACAACGCGATTCGCCAAATAGCGGTCTGCGGAGATCATGATGTGTCGTGGTAGTTCACCGACCGGAACCTGATCAGGCGCTTCCTGCAGCTTGAGCACCTGCTGGTCAATGAACTGGCAGCGCTCGTGCATGACATAGTAAGGGTCCAACGGGCATTGTTCTCCCTGCTCGCCCTCTCCCTTCTTTCTACCACATGTCCTCGGGAGGGAGACACCGGAGAAGCCACCCGATACGGGGAGGATCTCTTCATGCTGGCAGTTCCTGCAGCGTATAGCGAGTGCGGTAGATTTGGACGAAAGTGTAGACGCGCCGATGATTATACCGGGTATACGGACGAGTTGCGAGACGTTGGTCGCAGTCAGGTCGCGAATGGAGAGTTCTGAGGCGTTCGAGTGGAGGAGCAGCTGGTGTTCTGGGAGCTGGATGTTCTTTTGTGAGGGGTAGACGATGCGTTGTGTGCACGTCTTCAATGCCGACTCGAACTGGGAGGCATCAGCATGCGCACGTAATTCCAGAGGGTACAACGTACGAGGGGTATAATCTCTGCCGGGTTCTGTCTGAGATCATGCGCAAGCTCTGGGCTGTAGCTGATCAGATGCGCAACGTCAATGTCGCAGTAGTATTGCTTCAAGAGAACGTTCTCGCGAATTTGATCTCTACAAATAGTTAGACCGCTGCATATGGCACGTGCGACTGCCTGCCATACCTGTAGACGAAGATGTTGTCGAGGGTAAAGTCCATAATAAAGTCGACAAGCGCTTGGTGCACGCGCGAGGGCGCAGCTGCATCCCCGGGCCCATCGCCGGCTTGGCTGCCGAAGAGACTGATTGAGAAGGGAGTCTGTCTGTCCGCCATTATGTGTATCGTGCGTATCGTCAGTCGTAATGGTGGTTGTAGAGGGGCAAACACACGCTGTCGCTAGGGGGACAAGGACCAGACGCGCTTTCCTCGCGATTTCGCGCTAGGCCCGCGCGCTTTCCATTTTACACCTGTCTTTGGCCTAGCGCATCCCTCGAGGATCTCCGGAGCCTACAACCCTTCTTCATCCTTCAACGCGTGCTGGCCGCGACAGCCAGCAGGATACGCCATCACTTGTGACCATAGAATTGTCAGTCGAAGGATGGTTATACGAACCACCTGTATCACGCTCTTGACGCATCTCTACTGCTGCCCGCACTTTCGTCAACCGCAAGGATTTTGTCGCGTCTTTTTCCGCCATCGAAAGTGTACATCGTTCAATCTCTCAAGCATACGATCTAGATAGAGAAGATGATTCGTCTTTGCTATCGCTCCCAGCTAGGCGATTCTACCAGGTACGAGCACGAAGCTCACCACGTGAACTCAAAGTCCATTATCTGGTCCGCCTTCGTATCCAACCTCATCTTACCACCAGGTACTCCCTGAATCGCCCCAGAGCTAGCCGTAGCAACATCTCCAGCTACCGTGTTGTTACCCGACCCAGCATCATACTTGACCACCACACTACCACCAACCCGACTCATCATCTTCATCTTGCTAATCCTGCCATCTGTCCACTCCAAATCGAACACAAAGCCACCTCTAGCCACCAGTCCAGACACACTTCCCGAACTCCATTGCTCAGGCAACACGGGGAGGAGCCAGACCTCCCGTACACCCTCTTCATCCACGATATGCGACTGAAGTAGCGCTTCCGCCACACCACTCACGAAGCCCAGATTGCCGTCGATCTGGAACACGCCTTCATTGACGTCCATCAGGTTATTGTACACACTGGTGTTGAAGAATTGATAAACATTCTCAGCCAGCGCTGTCTGGTTCTGCAACCGCGCGTACCAGTTGATTGTCCATGCGCGCGACCATCCTGTCCCGGCGCCATTGTGAGAGAGGCGGTCTTCGAGAGTAGCACTCGCGGCGTTGAAGAGCTTGGCGTCGTAGCCTGGCGCACCTGGTGGGAAGATCTGCGTGCCTGGATAAAGTGCGTATAAGTGGCTCACGTGGCGATGGCCTGGTTCTGCTTGCTCGTAGTCCTGCATCCACTCCTGGAGAGTGCCAGGGTAGCGCGTTGAGTAGCGGTATGGCGGAAGTTTCGCTTGGGTGTCTCGAACTCGTTGCAAGAATGACGAGTCCACGGTACCGTTATTAAGAGTGTTGACCGCCCGGAGGTAGTTCGTGAAGAGCTCGTTGAGGATCTCGATGTCGCAAGTTGGCGCAATGTCGAAATAGTACGTCTTTCCATCTGCGGCAATGTAACTATTCTCCGGGGACACAGAAGGATTGGTGACGAGATATTCCGTCCCATTGATGCTGTATGTCTGTAGAGTATCGAGGTAAAACATAACAGCGCCGGACACTATATCAAGCCTTGAGGCTAAGAACTCCTTATCGCCTGTGTACCAGTAATGCTCGAGTATATGGGTAACAAGCCAGCCAGACGACAATGTCCAGTAGGTAGCCGGAAGATAGCGATCCACAGGCGCAGTATCGCCCCACAGATCCGTGTTGTGGTGGCTCATCCACCCGGATCCAGACACATTATACATTCTACGGGCGGTATCCATGCCATCTTTGCGCATGAGGTCCAGATGATCAAACAACGGTGTGTGCAAGCTCGACAGACTGGTGACTTCCGCGGGCCAATAGTTCATCTGGAGGTTGATGTTGACGGTATACTTCGAGCCCCATTGCGGCATGAATTCTTTGTTCCAGATACCTTGGAGATTGGACGGTAAGTTGTCAATGCGCGACGATGCGATCAACATGTAGCGACCATAGTTGTATCCTAGAGCGGTCAGCCCTGGGTCGACGGCTCCTTCGCGTGTTGCGTTGATGCGCGCGTCTGTTGGAAGGCTACTAGCGTTTGCGTCGGATCCGGTGAACTCCAGGACGCTGGCATTATACAGTGGTGCATAATCTTCGATGTGGCGCTGTCGAAGCTCTGCATATGTGTATTGACGGGCTCGTTGGATAGTGCTGTCCACAGCTATGCGCGTGTCGTTGGCTCTGTAAGAAGTGGAAGCCGCAAAGTAAGCCGTTGCTTCCGTGGCATTGTCGACGACGATGAATTCGCCAAGCGTCTTCATGTTGCCATCGGTATTGACTGCCAAAGCGGATGTGAAGATAATGGGGTCAACACCGCCAGTCCCTCCAGTCATGTACGCAACTCCATTCGCGTTCCAGTCTTGATCTGACGCCTCGTTTAAGCCGTCCTGTGGTCTGTGTACGCGTATCTGGAATGAGAGTTTCTCAGGTCCGGTGGCTTGTAAATGTTGTACAAGTACGTCGTCTGGGGTTGACACGAATATCTCGCGCTCGTATAGTGTATCATTCACACTGAACTTGACGCCTGAAGTTGCGGTGACCAGATCAAGCCAACGCTCGTAAGTCGTATTGTCGTAGTCGCTAGTACCATCAAAGTAGACTTCCATTTCTCCCAGCGGTTGGTAGTTCCTAACGCTTTGGGGCGTGCCCATCATACCCAGGTTCGCCAGCTTTTCCGCTTCGCCTGCTTGATCTTGTGCGAGCAACTCTCTTACATCCGAAAGTGTCTGGGACGCGTTTTGGTTCACACGATCTCGAGGGCCACCAGACCAGATGGTCTCTTCGTTGAGCTGTATGCGCTCTTGTACGGGTATTCCGAATACCATGGCACCGAGGCGCCCATTTCCTATTGGGAGTGCGTCTGTCCAGGCATCAGAAGCGGCGGGCGCTGTGTACCAAAGGCGTGCATCGCTTGCTGCTACCAAGGGAGCGAGCCCTGAGGCGACTGTCAAGGTCGCTAGAGTTAGCATCTGGACTAATTGCTGCTTCTGTAAGTCCTGAGCTCCTGATGGTGGACTGTGAGGCATGAGGACACCAGGAAAACACTACGACTATGTACCTGGGATCGTCGCTTCAGCCCTGCGTCGATGTAGATTCTCATTGATGGACGATAATATGCCTGTCTACTGCAAATCCCATTCTGGGTATGGCGCGCGATCCCCGCATTCCACGCCCAGTTCACACTTTTTGCTTTGCAGATCTTGTACCCATTGCCTGATGTCTTGCATGGTCTCGCATGTCGAGTAGCTTCCCTACACTTCCTGGCCCGGAGAAGATCCGGAGAACACCCTGTCGCATTTAGCCTCGGAACATAAAAAATGCATCATGATGTAGTTTCGATGCACCAAAGACATGTAGCAATACGAGGTGTACATTACCCCGCACGTGCGGCCGATGTCCAGGTATGGAGCACGCTTCTCAGTTGCTTGGGAAGCGCGAGTTGGTCGCAAGTGACGTAACGCGTATCTGAAGCTACATCAAGCGCCTAGAATTGTGTCGCATTTCTTAGCCTACACGTCCTTAAGACTCAACATGTAAGTACCTCTTGAGGCGGTGTATACTTCCATTTCGCGAAAGAAAGACGGAAGATTGCGACACGAATTGTAGCTACACCTAGCGAAAACACGTCAAAACCACGACGCGTCGGATTCGCGTAAACCATCGCGTTGTCCTTACAACTGATAGTGCGACGCGCCATAGCCAGCATCGCTCGTCTCAATGAGTCGGATAACCGCGGTGTCATGCGACTCAACAACTGCTTCGTACCGTCCTTTGAAGTTCCCCTGCTCTTTTCCAGTCCATGAGTCGAACACGGTGTATTCAGCCTCCGCATCCAACTCAGGCACCTCCGCGAAGTCGATGGCCTTGGTCTGGGTCGCATTCAGTGTGTTCAATGCAAATACATGTACACCTTTGGAAGACCGCCCACTCCAATACTCGGCGGGATGCGATTGGTTCCAAGTCCAGTCGGCGTTGATACCCCATTTGTAAGGTTTGGCTGCAGCACCAAAGACTGGGTCTTGATTGAAGTCGATGAGCTCCTTGTTGCTCAGAATCTCCAAGATTTCCGGCTCGATGCCGTGAAGAGGGGTGCCGATGATTAGAGGCGACTTCAGAGCAGCCCAGAGGGCGAAGTGAGATCGACTCTCTTGTAGGGTGAGGTTTCCATTGCCAACTTCAAGCATGTCCCAGTCGCCATGACCCCAGAAGTCGGTATCGTTGTTAAAGAAGGATGCATGGTTGAGGATTGGCATGATGCCCCAAGAATACTGATGTTTGTCGTACCACTCTGGGTAGATGTCTCCCCACATGCGCCAGCTATGGCCAGTCGCGTTACCCCACTGCTCGATGTGGGCATGGCCCCAGGCACATTGCGAGTATTCAATAGTACGATTTGTTGCGAGGAGGGCATCACTCATGGTCTTGTAACGCGTGAAGCTCTTCGAGGTCGTCCAATCGTAGCCCGCGGGCGCTGGGATCGGCCGAGCTTCACCATCTCCGCCAGCGCTCTGGTCTTCAGCGGGAGGACCTCCTAGCCAATTCTCTGGCCACCATCGGTACTCGTCGTCCCATTCATCAGCAACGGCGCAGTTGTCGTACTTCAAGTCTAATAAGGGTGAGCAATGATGAGGAGTGTACAGAGTATGCAGCTTACAGTCGATGCCCCAATCGGCGAAGGTTTTTGCATCTATTTGCTCGTGTCCCAGTGAGCCAGCGTATCCACCGCATGTTGTGTCGCCAGCATCACCGTAGATGCCGACTTTCAACCCGAGCTTATGGACCTCGTCTGCCGTATGTTTGATGCCACCCGGAAACTTGGCATAGTCAGGACGGATCCTTCCTGTGACGTTGTCGCGTTGGTTAGATTTGTCGGACCAACAATCATCTATGTTCACATAATTGTAGCCGAGGTCTTTCAAACCAAGAGAGATGAGAAGTTCAGCGACTTCCAGGATGACGGTCTCGTTGATGGCGCATTCGTACTCGTTCCATGTACTCCATCCCATAGCTGGTAGGCGGCCTGTTTGCCCATCTTGCGACACCAGCGAAAAGCCTGAGCCGGCCAGTGCCAATCCGATCAACAATGAACGCAGCGACATGCTGAATATAGATGAAGGGTGTATTGAAGAAGATTACCAGGCGACAAAAAACATCCTTATAAGATATGCTTCTTGTCCAAGAAGGATTGAAAGGAAGGACTGCCGTTCTCGAAGCGGAGGGAGGCTCCGCGACCGCTTCCGGAAAGCACTGTAGGAAACTGCCCAGTTGACATAACGATTGGGGGATTGAAGAACAGCGAGGAGATCAATATAATTCTTCCGAAATGCGGACATTCGTTGGGGTAGACCGACTCATCAGCGCAACAGCAACGTGAGCTAGGCGTTGCGGGGACCAGCAACCGGTTCAGCCTCTGGTATCGGCACACAGATTGACGGCCTGATTACCGTGACCAATGATCTCAGGATTTAAAAGGGTGCAGATAACATTGTCTCATTATAGAACAAAAGCTCGAGTAGCAATTGCATGTAGGAAAGAAGCTAAGAGGAGACCCTTCATGTTGTCCTCCGATCGGTCGGATGGCTGTCGCGCGATGACGTCATGACTAGCGCTTCTTGCTCTTTCCGCAACTGGACACCACCATCGTCCATATCATCGCTCAATGCCTGTGGCCGTGATGATGATGGCCATGGTCATGAGAGTGATCGTGACCATGGTCGTTTTCCTCTTCATCCTGCGCCCGCGGCCACTCGGCCCAGTAGCCGTCGTCCCACATTTCCTGCAGGGTCTCTTCCTTCTCGTCATCGTCCAATGAATCGTCATGCATGACCTTCTCCCACTTCTTCATCTCCTTTTTCGTCAAAAGGCAAGCGTCAAGCATCTTCGTCAACCCGTCAACGTCAAGCTTCTCTCCGATGAATACCTAAAGATTGGTGTACAATGTCAGTATTTGTCTCACATGCAGTTCGTACAGCGATATTCCTTACCATTTCTTGTCTACGGTCGCCCCACTCTGGATATTGGCATGCGAAGTCAGTGGATGTCTCATAAGTACTTCGTGAATGGGATACTTACCACCCTCGAAGTCGTTCCTGATAGCCTTCAGCGTGTCTTCGTCGGCGCCCCAGTCTTCTTCGGACACGCAGCAGAACCACGGCATCTCAGAGCCGAGTGTCAGCATTGCACCTGCAGTACTCCACGAGCCCATCTGATTAGGACGCGTGGCGAGCCAGAAGAGACCCTTGCTTCGGTGTAGGCCGCCGAAGTAAGGGCAAGCCTTCTTGTTGGCCAGAATCTCCTTGTCATCCATTTGGGGAATTTCTTCATCGTCGTCGCTGACCTTGTCGGAATCGTCTTCGGACGCGCTGGCCTTTCCAGATTCGGATGAACCATCGATGGCGTTGTCGTTGCCATCATCATCGTCTTCATCTTCTTCTTCCTCATCCTCTTCGGCATCGGCGACGTCTTCTGCCTCGTCTTGCAGCAAGATGAACTTGCCCTGGATAAGCCGGTACAGCTTCATTGGGTCGAATGGTCTGCGAGCGCGATATACGAAAGAGCCGATGCCATATCTAAATCCAGGTCAGCATGAGCGAAGCTTCCGGTATCGAGTGACTTACTCAAGCGTCTCCGGCTTGGGTGCGACACGCTTTCTTCCCGAGACGTCCATGACGGTCATTTCATGCAACGACTGGAGCCATCCAACGCTTGCGACAGCCTCGCCGAAGTTGAACACGCCCGTATTGAGCATCTCGCGAACGTCCACCTTGGAGTACCTGGCTTCAATGATCTTCGCCTTCGGGTTTAGTGACTTGATGTATGCTCGGACGCGCCCCAGGGTTGCCTTGTCTGCTCTATCGATCTTGTTGATGATGATAACATTGGCAAACTCGATTTGGTCCGCGAAGAGATCGGATATGGTTCGCTGGTCCTCATCCGGAACTTCGTCGCGCCCGAAGCGGTCTTGCAGGAACTCGGCCGTGTCGAACTCGGAAAAGAACCGGAACGCATCCACCACAGTGACCATCGTATCGACGGTCGCAATGCTCTTCAGCCCACCGATCTTCGCGCTGTGAACACTCGTAAGCTACTGGATTGTACCACTGCCTTGGGTTTGACTTACACTTTAGTAAAGACTTCCTTCTCCTCAGGTTCCAGTCCCTCGGCGTCGATCATTGCCTCGGTAAGCTCGGTCGTGAAGGTCTCCGCCACTTGTTGCGGCTCACTGATACCGGAGCTCTCGATGATTACATGGTCAAATGCGTTCTCGGACCAAGCCAGGCGTGCTAGTTCAACAAGTAAGTCGCTTCGCAATGTGCAGCAAATGCAGCCTGGATGAGAGGTTAGCGTATGTCTTGCATGAAGTTCGTACAGTCATTGTCTCACCATTCTCCATTTGCACGACCTTCTCTTTTAGACGTATCTCTCCATTACTGTTCTTATTGTTGCCACGACTAACGAGGTTCGCGTCGACGTTGACTGATGCCATATCGTTGACAATGACGGCGATGCGCAAACCATGATCTGGCGACTGTAGAATGTGCCGAAGCAAGGTTGTCTTCCCACTGCCCTACTGTTGTCAGTCTCAACCTTCACATTCCTCAGCTGTTACTTACCAGAAATCCGGAAAGAACGGTCACTGGGAGCGGCTTTCGCTCGGTGGTCTTGTTCTTCGCCTTCATCTCCGCACCGCCGGTCTTTCTACGCTTCGCAGCTGGCATAGGGAATTGCTATAGTCGTCTTTACGTCGGTAACTGTTTTGACACTCTCTGGAACTTGTTTTGGTGGTTTTTGTATCTGTCTCGTTACCGTTGTGCGCGTCGGCCACTGAGCACCAAGATGGCTCGGTCGCATCAGCACGAAAGTGACGCATCTCATTCGTCGAAAACGCGAGAGACACAAAAACCGGAACTACCAACCTGATAGTAGTAATCCGTGTTCATCTAGGTGTTAATATGGTAGATCGAGCAAGGTTCCGCACGAGATTGACCTCGGGGGTTGGCTGCCTCGCGAACTAGACCCTGAATAAGCATCTCCGCGCATTATCCTACAAGACTGCAAATGCACAGTAAGATGCTTCTTGCAGAAAGATTTCGAAGACGCGTTCAGACGAACGTTGCAACACTCTGCTTAGTATTGCCAGCTCGCATCGGGCGACGAGTTTGGACGATTCCCGGACGAACTTGAACGAACCTAGATTCCCAACTTGAGCTCTGCCTCGAACTGAACTATACTGCTAATGTAAGATGGGCATTTTGGCATTTTATGCATCATCAGGTGGGCAAGGTCGCTACATTGTTGGAAATATTAATGTATTGATGTAGACGTTCACGTGGAGGTGTTGAGAGAGCGACCTCAGGAGCCCCTGGAACTTGCGACAGTAGCGTGGATTATGTCATTTAGCTGGCATGCCGCGACGCGTCGCGTCCTTTGCCTCCCTACAATACCACACTCCTGCTCACAATCGCGTGGCTGAATGTCGTGTTCGCGATACAACTACCACTAGCCTTTCTGCTGGAAGCCTGCGCCATATGCTGTCGTCGCGTTTAACCTCTCCAGAATGTATTCTCCCGCTCGGATTGGCTTGTAGGGACTCTCCTCGCCCTCTTTCAGGCATGTCGGCAACGTCTCAATCGCCGTGTCATAGTTCACCGAAAAGAAGAATGGTACACTGTACCTCGCCTCCGCCGTTCGGTTTACGACGCGATGCACCGTGCTCTTATACAATCCATTCGTCCAGCGCATGAGGAAGTCGGCAACATTCACAATGAGGGTACCGGGGATGTGCGGAGCAATATACCACTCGCCAGAAGGTTCCAAGATCTCGAGGCCGGGCACGGTCGATGCGAGCAGCAATGTGAAGCACTCGTAATCTGAGTGCGCACCTAGGCCGATCTGCGCTTCTTGAGTCGGCGTAAGGTTGTTAGTGAGAGGGGTTTTGGGGGGCGGGTAGTACAGAAGTCGTGCAATACCCCCAGGGTGCGTCGTCATGGAGTCGAAGTAATCTTCGGGGAGATCGAGTGAGAGCGCAAAGAGGCGAAACAAGTGACGGGCGAGATCAAGGACCTAGTAACGGTGAGCATGTCTACCTACTACGTAAGAAGCACCTCTGGTAGATTTGACTCACAGCACCATAGTATGTACGGACGTTTTCATAAAAGCCCGGCAGGTCTTGTTCATCAGGCCACATGTTGCTCTTCTCTGTTGACCCGTCAAGATTCTTGTATTTGCCATCGCCACCAGACAAGTCCAGGCGCTCTTCGTATGCGAAATTGAAGACTTCCTTTTCCTCCTTGTCACCAGCGATGGATGTATACTCGCTCGGCTCCCAACCCAAGCCGAATTTGTTGTTCTTCAGATGCAAAGTCTCTTTCTTGCTCAGCGGCAGTTCGTGCATGAAGCGATCAGCCTGATGCAAGATGCCATCACAGGCTGATCCTGGTATGCGATGATTGCTGATGTAGAAGAACCCGGAGGTGGTGCAGGCTCGACGAATCTGTGCAGCTACCACTTGCCGATCCTCAAGAGAAGCAGAGAATGAAGGGGTCAGATCGATAATGGGAATCTCGAAGTTCTCGTCGGCAACACGATCTTGCGCCAAGAGTCGCGACTGCAAATAAGCGGCGGCGCCATTTCGGGCTTCCTCGTATGTCGTCTGGTCCGGCACTTGCACTGTGGTAGTCGCCATGGCTGCGCTTAACGATCCGAGTTCTTCTCGAATCTCAAAGCGATATCGGGAGGGAGAGTCAATATCAAGGCAAGGCGCGTAGGGCGCGAGGTGATAAGGCGTTCAGAAGTGGGGGCAGCTACGGCGATGCATCGGATCTAAGACTCGAGATGCATGCCCATCTGATACTGTACCCCTCATTCCGCAACACAAATCCTCCCGCCTCAAACATCCAGTCATGTCTCGATCTCAAAACACCACTCTCTTCACCAACGGTCGGTTCTTCAACAGCGCGACAGCGCAATCCGAAGCACCATTCCATACTACGTTAGCCGTTCAAGATGGCAAGATCAGCTTCATCGGAGGCCCCGAGGACTCCGAAGTCCAAGAACTCTGCAATGCTGGTGCGAGAGTGAGCGATCTTGGCGGTAAACATGTACTTCCTGGATTTATCGATTCTCACATGCATTTCCTCATGCTTGGACAATCATTGCACAAAGTGGACCTGGACCACGCGAAGGATCTAGAGGAGATTCGTGCCCGCATCTTGAAGTACGCAAAAGCGAATCCTGATAAACCGCGCATAATGTGCAAAGGCTGGATGCACTCAATGACCAATGGGGAGGCCAAAGCGAGCATGTTAGACGACCTAGATCCCAGACCGATCTACATAGACTCCAAAGATATCCATTCTTGCTGGTGCAATAGCGCGGCGTTGAAAGAGATGGGGGTTCAAGAAATGGAGACTCCAGCTGGTGGAACGATTGAAAGAGATTCGGATGGCAACGCGTCGGGGCTTCTTAGCGAAGCTTGCGTATTACTTATCGTTTGGCCGTGGCTTGCAAAGGTTACACCACTCGATGAGAAGATGGCGGCCTTGAGGACTGCAATCAAGGCGTATCATGCTGTTGGCTGCACAGGATGCATCGACATGGCGATGGATGAGAGTGCATGGGAAGCTATACTTTCCCTGCGATCTACCGAAGGACTACCAATGCGGGTGGCTGCGCACTGGTGCATTATGCCTGGCGATGGCGAAGAACATCGCCTGCGACAAGTTGAGCGAGCTATCCAGCTGAGCCAGGAGTTCAACAAGAACACTAGCCCTGATTTAAGGGTCGTTGGCATCAAGGTCATCTGTGACGGAGTGATCGATGCTTGTACTGCAGCGCTGGCAGAACCCTATACCTCAAACGGCCATTTTGAGGGTCCGATCTGGACACCGGAGATGCTCGATCCTGTCGTCAAGAAGGCAATCGAAGGCGGACTTCAATGCGCATTGCACGCAATAGGTGATCAGGCTGTTCACAATGCTGTCAATGTGCTGGAAAGATATGGAAAACAAGACCAGAGGCACCGTATCGAGCATCTCGAACTTACCGCACCGGAAGACGCGAAGCGACTTGGTCAGCTCGGCATAACAGCAAGTATCCAACCAGTTCACTCAGACCCTGCTATCCTCCGTGCGTGGCCGAAACTTCTTGGTCCAGAACGCGTGAAGCGAGCCTTTGCGTACTCTGACTTCTCAGATCACGGCGCGACACTGGCTATCGGCTCTGACACACCTACCGCACCCTACGCACCGCTGCCGAATTTGTACGTCGCTACCACGCGAAAGTCGGCGAGACAGCCGGATGCTGGAGACGCGCCCGTCAATGAGAACTTCCGCCTTGAGTTGACACAAGCAGTGACTGCTGTTACCCAGGGCGCGGCATATTCCTCATTTGCAGACGACCGTGTAGGTAGTTTGGAGGTCGGCAAGATGGCAGACTTCTGCGTGGTAGACATGGAGTGGAAGGGGGAAGAGTTGCTCAAAGCCAAGGTCTTGGAAACATGGTATGAGGGAAAGCAGGTGTACAAAGCTTAAGTATTGATCTGCAGAGGTAGAAAGCTTTCTGTAGATGTAGCCTCGAGAAATGAAGACGCGAAACGGCCGATGGTGCCTGCTGTGTCAGCCGCATCGGGACGTCATCGTGACCCACCTGCACGTGGTATTAGGCGATTGCATCACATACACCAAACAACACTACCAACTGCACTCTACCCAACACCAACGAGACAACGAAAGACTTGGCCAAGGTTCAGCATATCAGTAGATTCCATCGCTCGATGAGCAACCACACCCTCTGGTAAGCCTCGGTAATGACCAAGAAGGCTTCAAAGAAAAAGCCTCGCGGAAGCCTTATCCATGCACCGCATGTGGCGATAAGGATCACACAAATGCGCATATAACGGCATTGCGCACCGAGATACGAAGAAGTTCTGGCATTGTCAAGATCGGTGTTCACGCATCATCCATGTATCAGCGGTGCATCTGAAACCAGAGGTGTAGCCCCGCAACCTTGCATGTTTCATACCTCGACTCGACCTGCCCGAACCTCATCGCGAACTTAAGTGCGGAATCCCACTCCGCGTTTCTATAGCCAGAATTCGGTCGCGAAAGACGGTTTAATCTCCGCCACCTGCAGAAATTTTGCTGGACGGCATTCCAGCCCGTCTTAGCAGTTGTTTAGCAGCTGTCATGGTGGCTTAGACGTCTAGGAACTATGCCTGGATGACAGCCCATGGGGAGGCATGATCCTCAGGTGTTTCGCAACCCGATGGACGTCATTTGAGGTGCTCTTCGGATATATTGATCGATGGTCGCGCCCTGTTCTCCGCTGCGCACTTCGAACATCACGTACTATACAAACACAAATACACCAGCTCCTAGTTGACACATACATCTTGAGTCGTATCATATACCAAGAAAGCAACTTCGACTTCTTCTATTACCTTACCACATCGATCAACAACATGTTGACCAACCGTCGCTCCACCATGATGGTCCCTCCCAACCGCATGCCCAGTTGGCATCCCCACTCAAAAGGCACCATGCCTCAGCAGCCATCGTCAACGCCTCTTGCGATCGACACCGAAGCACCTCAAAGCCGCACACCCGCCATCTTAACATCAACAACGTTCGATCTGCCCGGCCATCGCGTCATTCGCGTCCTCGGTGCCGTCCACGGAACTACAAGCGCGACGCGCAAAGACCCGAAGTCTTTCATCAAGAACATCGCAAGCAGTTTCAACAGCAGCTGGGGAGAGGCAAAGAGTGTGACGAGCATCGTATACCAAGCGCGCGATCAAGCCATCGACAGGCTTGTGAAAGAGGCGATAAGCAAGGGTGCGAATGCCATTGTTGGATTGGAGATTCGGGAAAGCGAAATCATGAGCTGTGTGGTGGTGAGCGTCAGCGGCACGGCGGCTTGGGTTGAGAAGGAGAATCAGGTCAATGTCAAGAGGGATAGCGCGCAAGAGGCTGACCCTTTTCGATGACAATGTACAGAGGGCGAAGGGCATCGGTGCGCAATAAGGCTAAACGGATGTTATTTTGAACGGGTAATGGGACGATGCAGCACTGGCTTGCGACATCACGATTTCGACTTTCTAGAGAGCGCGATATTGGGATCAGGTATTTACTGTGTGTTTAGAAACTTCAGCATGCTTACCACAACTCTTCATTTCCTGCGTCTTTTTCTTTTGTTACTAATCAGACTGATCGAGCAGATAGTGCTGTTGCGCGAGCAAGTGTCGGTGCACTACCCCACAGAGCAGAATCTTTCACAGCGGAGAACGCTCACCCGAAAGATCGAAGCGCTGACATACCCACCTCGGACTACTCCATCACTTCACATTGGAAGTTCCCGCGCTTTACTGTCGTGGGCATCTTTAGTGTTCAGACAAGAACAGGATCCCTGGGCGCCAAACCGTCTCATCTCGTACCGCTCGGAGGCTGGGACACGCTAGCGCCAAAGTAGCAATTTAGCCGCGCATGAGGCCGACACGACATTTGACGGCGAAAGCACCGAGCTGCGATTGAGCGGAGACCCCAGCCTGCCCCAGGTTCTTTCCCTAGCCTCGGCAAGTGGAGACGCCTTATGGCACCAATTCAGCTCCACAAGCAGCTGGACAGCAGTTGAAGACGATGCAATTGCTCTTGCGGACGCCGCGACCGAGCATCTGCAATGCCATGCGCGCACCGTGGATAGAAGTATTGGACATGCGCCGCCATTTCCATCAGCCAAGATGTCGGACATCGCATAACGTCACTCGAGAGGGGTCGCTGCATCCGCCGGCATGGATGCATGGATCGTCAGGAACTAACCCTCGACTTCATCCAATTCTTCCGCTCGTCTACGCCTGAATCCTCCAATGACGGGTGGCGCTACACAAGCTCTTTCGCCTACACGCCATCGATCCGGGAAATATCATGACGATTGTACCGGCCCATGTATGCACACTGCTCTTGATTCTTCCCGTGGCCAAGGCCTGGCATGGCTGGAGACCCGCGATGTTGGGGAACGGTTAGTGAACCGGGATATGGGTGAAGGTATAAGGTCAGCCAGAGTGGACGTTTTTTTTGGGAGATCAGCAATTCATCGTCTTTTGATCGCAAAGATGGTGTTTCTCAAAGGGATTGCAGCTGCGGCCTGCGCCACGTCTGCGCTTGCTGCCGACATTATTGTCCAGAACTCTGGAGGCAATCAAACCGGCGCGTTTGGTCACTCTTACGGCTATGGCTTCCTTCACGAGGTAAGCTATCGTCATCATCATCCATGCCAGAATGCCATGTACTGACATTTTCTCAGGATATCAACAACTCCGGTGATGGTGGCATCTACGCTGAGTTGATCCAGAACCGTGCTTTCCAGTACAGCCAGAACTACAGCGTTTCCACGGACCATTACTTCAGCGTCAATGGCGCTCAACTTAGCATTCAAATGCTAGACGAGCCGCTGTCTGAGCAGTTGCCGGCATCCATGCGCGTCTCAGCTGGAAATGGAAGCTATGCCACCGGAAAGATTGGCTTCAAGAATGAGGGTTACTGGGGTATGGACGTCCGCCCGCAGACCTACACCGGCTCTTTCTGGGTTAAGGGCGCGTACAGCGGTGTGTTCACTGCATCGCTGGAATCGAACTTGACCAGCGATGTATTTGCATCCGTTGAAGTGCCATCCAAGTCCGTTGCAGACGACTGGACTGAGCACACTTTCGAGCTCGTTCCCGAGATGGCTGCACCCAACTCCAACAACACTTTCTCCGTCACTTTTGACGGTGCCGCAGCCAGCGCACTCGACTTCAACCTCATCTCCCTCTTCCCACCAACCTACAAGGGCCGCAAGAATGGTCTTCGTGTCGACATTGCTGAGGCTCTCGCCGACATGAACCCTAAGCTCCTCCGATTCCCAGGCGGTAACATGCTTGAGGGTCTCAGGAACGATTCTTACTGGGACTGGAAGGATTCGCTTGGTCCTCTGAGATACCGCCCTGGTTTCCAGGGTGTATGGGGATACCAGCAGACTCACGGTCTTGGTCTCATGGAGTACCTTGAGTGGTCTGAGGACATGGGTCTCGAGATCGTTTTGGGTGTTTGGGCTGGTCTTGACTTGGATGGTGGTGTCACACCCCAAGGAGACCTCGCACCTTTCGTAAAGGACGCTTTGGACGAGATTGAGTTCGTTTGCGGTCCTACCAACTCTACTTGGGGTGCGCGCCGTGCTGAGCTTGGACACCCTGAGCCCTTCGAGCTCAACTACGTCGAGGTCGGTAATGAGGACTGGCTCGCTGGCTTCCCTGGTGGCTGGGAGTCTTACCGCGCATACCGTTTCCCCATGTTCTACAACGCCATCAGCAATGCCTACCCTCACATCCAGGTCATTGCTTCAGCCGCATCTAGCGACCCTGCCGGAGACCCTCCGATCCACGGACCCAACGAGGACAACGGCCAGATTCTGCCTCTCGACGCGCTTGGTGACTACCACCCGTACCGCGAGCCTGATGAGCTTGTTTACGAGTTTAACCGATTCGACAACGACGCCGGCCACATTGTCGGTGAGGTTGCCGCTACCCACGTCAACGGCGGTATCCGCTGGGAGGGTGACTTGTACCCCTACCCATGGTGGCAGGGTGCCGTCGGTGAAGCCGTCTCTCTGATCGGATACGAGCGCAACTCCGACCGCATTCCCGGTACCTTCTACGCCCCCGTCTTGAAGAACAACAACCGCTTCCAGTGGCCCATCACTCTCATCCAGTTCGATGCCGACCCGAAGCGCACCACCAAGGCCGTTACCTGGTACTGCTGGAGTCTTTTCGCCCACCACCCAATCTCCCACACTCTTCCCACACACTCCAACACCTCGTACGGACCCCTCTACTGGGGTGCCGGTTACGACGAGAACCGCAACGGCGCCATGGTCTGGAAGGGTGCTGTCTACAACACCACCGACCACGCTGACGTGCCTGTAAGCGTCCAATTCCAGGGCGTTGCTCCGGGTACTATGGCGAACCTCACTTACCTTACCAACTCCGTTGGCGACCCATACATGTACAACGATCCCTTCACTGGCATCAACATTGTTAAGACCAACAACATGATGCTCACCGCCGGAAGCGATGGTGTGTTCCGCTTCAACCTGCCCGAACTTAGTGTTGCTGTGTTGGACACCGAGATCACTGGTGGAAACAGCACTGGCCACTACCGAAGACGGTTGTAGGAAACTACTTTCGAACTCGTAGTTACGTAGATAGTGTATGAATCAAGTAATTTATATCACGACATCATTTCGACAACTTGAACACGAGGTGAAATTCTATGAGCATAAAACTCGTAGATTGATATGTCTTGTCCACGGGCTTTTTCTAACGCTTGATCTTATGCTACTGAGGTGGCTGCTCATTGGCTGGTCGAATATGTCCTGTCTGTCAGGTCGAACACGGCACTGAGAAGGTGATATCCAGTGCGAAAGCACAGCGACCTGCTCTCTTCCTTTCCGATGAGCTCAACACAACTCCGCAAAGTGCTGAGTACCCTTGCGCAGTCAGGGGGCGGAACCGGGGCGAGGAGCTGTACACAAGTTGACAGTGCAGCTGCAAAGAAGTCCAACATGTATGGTTGTGCAACTAATGCCAGATCTGTACCTTGCCCCGGGAGCGACAAGAAAAGTTGATGGTGCCCCATCGTCGCAAGGTTGCACTCAAGAAAGGACAAATATGAGACCGGGTATAGACACTGAGCATCATAGGCTATCGCATACTGTCCGTGAAGAACTGATAGCGCACGACGAAGGAAAAGATCGAGCGCTAATCGTAGATTTTCGTTACCAGGCAATTCTGACGTTTGGCGCATCAGCTGGCGTATCTCAAGGTCATATTGCGCCGCTTCGTCGTAGGTGATCTGGTCGTGCGCCGAGCTGATCCGGGAAAGAACGTGACGTATGATCGAAAGCGAACGGGGCAAGACGGTTTCGAAGCAGTCTTCCAAGGTCGCTGGTGCGCAATGTTCAGTCTCGACTGGAAAGTCGTCCTGCGGGAGTACTGATTGCTGACCGGTGATCAACGACAGTTGTATGTCCATGTACACCACTACCACCCATAACTTCCGCCGAGCCTCTCTCTCGTGAGCAATTGCTGGTTCATCGAATCCAGCCATCCATTTCTTGTGTAACACCATCATCATGGACAAGCGAACGACAAGGCCCATAACATTCCAGCTGGTGTCTAGAGCCCAGCAGGTTGCATAAGCCACCGACTTTGCAAGCACCATGAGACACAGCGTACTGATGTTTGCGGTGGTTGGTCGATACATGTATGCCGTCTGCGCTAAGCAAGCTTCGCTGGCGTAAAAGTATTCCGATGAAGCTGAATCATTGCGGGTGGTGGCATAGGCGCCAAGGCCGAGTACTACGAAGTACTGGGCGAGCCAGCTGGAATCCTCTGTTGTCTGCGTATGGTGAAAACTTTCCATTTTTGACATGAATGTGGACCGGTCAAGGACCGGTAGACAAGGGTTATATACCCTGAAGTATGCATCGGCGTACAGCACTGCAGGAGCAGTGGAGTTTTGAAAAAGATCTTGTCTTTTATCAAGCGAAGCGTAAGCTTGAGACTGCTGACTTCCGAAGGGGAAGTTGCCGGCTAGAGCGAAGTCACTCGAGCAGTTTCCCGCAATGTGTTCCCGCATAGCCATAGTAAACGGGGGCGCCTCAAGACCAGGCAGTGTTTCTAGCTATGGATGATCAGAGATCAGGAAATTGTGCGAAGCAGGCATGAAAATGGCTCACCCTATCTAGGAGAGCTCTGAAATGGCTAGAGCTTCGTCTTCTCAGAAACCAGGTAGCTACGACAAACTCGGGGTCCTCAAGCGCAAAGACAGAAGACGGTACAACCGTCTTCTCGGCTATCTTGACTCTGTGCGTATAGAGACATGTTGTCTCATACCCGGAACGTGCGCATCTGCTACAAGGAGATCTTCTGTCACACTTGATCTTGAGCCGGTGACATCTCGTGCAGGAAAAGCAAGCTCGAGCGCGTCTCTTTACGCGCGAATGAGGTGAAGAAGATGCAGATGTGCTATCGAAAGCTTCTTCCGAGCGATCAATAGCCCCAAGTGGTGGCGTTTCTGGAGCCTGTGCTTCGTAGATGCAATTGGCCTTCGCCTTGTTGCAGCGCGAGCACGCGGGTCGGAGTTTGTCGCATTGACGCTTGGCTGAACGGCAGCGGGTGCATGTCTGCACATCCCGAGCATGTGTCATGGTGGTTTATGGGAGCACCTCATACGAGGGAAAACCTGAAACCCCAGGAGCCTACGTCGCTGTTAGGCCACCAACTTCGCAAGCTTTTATCTTGATGTAGGCTCTTGGGTGTTCGGTTTTTCCCTTGAATGGGGTGGGAGGGTGGGAGAGGCGGTCGGGCGTAAGAGGGCAGATGCGGCCGCAACATCCCGAGGTCTTTATGAATCCTGTCTGAGTCAAAGGCGCGACCTTTGAATCCTACGCGATGGGGCTTGAGAGCGGAGAAGATGCGGGCGGGGATAATCGGTAGTGTCGGCCGCACGCTAATCCCATGGAGAACTAGCGTGTCAGACATCTCGCGCTATCCCTTGCCGTGCCCAGGTGGGACCCGCTGCTTTCCACGCGACTAACATCTGCCAACACGAACGCGTACCGCAACCAGAATGCGAATTCGCGGCCCTGCTGTCGTAAAAACGAGTTTCAAAGTTTCGCCGACATGAGATCGATGAACACATACACACATAAGACCGCGAAGATGCCTAGGTACTCAAGCTTGGCCACCTCGTTCGACATCCGTCTTCTTCGTCTTCTTCGGCGTGAGCATATCTTGACATGGCTTCGAACACTGGAACCTAAGACCCGCATTGGATTCAAACTGGTTCTCCGATTTGACCCGGCCCTTCTCTCCACCTTGCCTCCCGCTGTGCCTTGGCTTCCAACAATGCAAATGCGGCCGCATAACGCCGACAGGAAAACTGTAGAAGAGCAGAAGATGTTGTAGAAGTATAAGATAGCGATGTACTCGCCAGCCAACTTTTTTGCATTCCTATTAGTATCTGTCTACGTCTCTTCACCAGCATTGACTTAGTTCTCGCCAACATGTCTATCACCGACGGAAATACGAAAATGAACGACTCCATTGATATCGAATCCTCTGGATCATGTCAAAGACAGGCTGTCGTTCTAGCTTATCAAGAGCTACTCACGGACCAGGCCTCGCAACCAGACAAAATATTCATGGCGGGCCACGAGATCCAGCATCTTGATTCCAACCTTGTGGTACTGGACGGAGATACACAAGAACACCCTCGCGTAAGTGTCAACACCCATGCAGTACATCTGCAGCTAACACCTATCTCAGTCCTGGCCAACCGCCAAGAAAGTGCGCGCTACCGCAATCGTGGGAGGTTGCTGTTTCATCTCCCCATTCGCAAGCACCATTTTCGCACCGTCCATACACCTAGTCATGAACGACCTGGGTATCACGGACAGTACCGTCGGCGCCTTGCAGGTCTCCATCTTCCTCTTCGCATTGGCTATCGGTCCGCTCGTTCTCGCCCCACTCAGCGAACGGTACGGCAGAGCAGCGATTATACACTTTGGCAATTTGGTCTTTGTTGCCTTCTCACTCGGAGGTGGCTTCTCTCAGACCGCTGTTCAGTTCTCCGCGTGCCGGTTCTTCGCTGGACTCGGCGGGTCTGCCGCCATCGCGGTAGTGGGTGGATTCGTATCTGACGTGTGGGATCTTGCTGCCCGTCCGAAGGCATCTGGACTCGTGATGCTTGGACCGTAAGTTTGCGGTTGTACAATTCTTTACTCTTGCTTACAGGAAGCAGCGTCCTAGGCCCCGTCTTGGGCCCCGTATGTGGAGGCTGGATGTCAGAGCGGGTCTCGTGGCGATGGACTCTTTGGATACCCGCCATTGCCAGCGCCCTGCTTTCGATCGCCGGAATTCTTCTCCTCAATGAGTCCTACGCACCCAGGGTTCTACAGAACAAGCTACGAAGAGAACGGAAAAAGAGGCCTAGCGCTGAGCTGTATACCGTACTGGATCTTCAGCCCCGTTTTACCGGCCCTACTGCGCTCGTCAACGCGTTCGTCCGACCCCTGGTATATCTAGCTCTCGATCCAGCGCTGTTGTTAGCCTCGCTGTTCTACTCAGTGGTGTTTGGGGTCGTATATCTGATCATCGTTACTTACGCTGATGTCTTTGGTCGCGGATATGGACACAGCGTTGGCATTGTAGGCACCGACTTCCTGGCCGCTGGCATCGGTATGCTCCTCGGTACATTCGCTACTATTCGTGCTATGGAAGCCATCTTCAAGCGAGACACAACATCCGGCCAAATGAAGTACAAGCCTGAGTCGAGACTCGTCAGCTGTCTTGTTGGTGGAACATTGCTGGTTGGTGGGCTGTTCATGTACGGGTTCACGGCCACCAGAACGCACTTTATGGTGCCACTGGTAGCCATCATGCTTATGATGGCCGGAGGCATGAACATCCAACTTGCGCTGCAGCTGTACGCTATCGACGCCTTCAAGTTCCCCGCTTCTGCAGTCGCGGCCATATCCTTCCTTCGCTGCATGTTCGCCGGCGCGTTTCCGTTGTTCGGAGAGAAGTTATTCGATACACTTGGCCTTGACTGGGGCGTGGGATTGCTGGGCTTTTTGGTGTTGGGTTTGGGGTTGCCACTGGTATCACTGGTATGTGCAGATGCTTTCGCTTGTTGTTTAATATTTTACTGACATTGTCACGCAGCTCTACATCTATGGTGTAAAGCTTCGGTTGAAAGGCGCCGATCGCATGGAGCGTTTCGAGGGCTCCAAAGCAACCATGAAGTAGCCCTTCTTAGGAGGAGCTGCCTGATATATGTGACCTCATGTATATCCCACCATCATCGTCTCTGGCGGCCCTAGATAGCTGTCTTTAACCCCGCCCCTAGTATCTAGAACAAGCTTCTCCAAGTAAACCTCTGGACTATTGACAGTCCAACGAAGCGTGTGCTTTCCTTCCGCTACTTCACCAAGACTGATCTTCCTCGTCCAAACCTGGTTCATCACTTCACTGGTCCACTCCGGCGGCACATCGCCTGCGTCCTTTGGGTCACCCAACACACGTGTGAAGTTTTGAGGGGTGTCGTCAAGGGAAAGCGAGAACTCCATGAGAAGATTAGGATCGGTATCTAGGCAGGCGTTGATGTATACCGTGGCGTTTAGGGCAGTGGTATGGTTGAAGAGATAGATGTCATATTCGACAAATGCCTTGGTAGCGTCATCAAGAGAAGCCCGAGCAGCATGGAAAGGCCGTATTGCGATAGATCCAGATTCGGTGCGCGTGCCCAGGTAGGGGATATGAGCAAATGATACCGCGTTGTTTGCAGTGCCGCTACGGAGCGACGAGCGCTGGTAGTGCGGGCTCTCAATGGATATGTAACCGGCAGTTTCTGGGAAGCCTAGGAAATCGCCGGGTACTTTGAAATTGGTCACCGGAATATGTATGATGTCGTAGTATGGGTAAAATGATGGCATTGATGTTACACCAACTTCTAGGGTGTCGTTGTATCCTTCTGGCACCCGTGTCCAGTCGATGGTGATGTTGAGGCGTTGCTCGTCTAAGGTCTCGCTGAGTTGGCCGGAGTTTGGTGTTATGGACAACCAATCCACCGGGATATCACCGAGCTGCCAGTCGAGCGGAATGCGGTAGTCACCTCGCATGAAGAGATCGATAGTCCGCTGACGAGGTCCATACGGACTCATCTCTGGTACCTTGGCTGGAGACTTGGTGAAAGGCAACGATGGATCGATTGACTCAGCCCATCGGCCCTGGTCGAGAGGACTATTGGAGCCCTCCGCATAAATACCAAGATTACCGACGGAGAACTGCATATTTTGGCGCAGCTGAACGAAAGAAAGATTCGAGACTATGTCGCGGGATGGATTCATCCAATTCTTGGGCTTTCCTGTATCGAACGTTTCGAGTTTGGCCTGAGACATAATGTTCAGCCATTTTCCATTCAGGACAGCGTCGAAACCTTCAACTAGATCGTAGTCATATTCGAAGTCGGCCAAAATCTGATGAGCGAGGGCGTTTGCAGAGTTTCTTCGCTCCATAGCATGTCGGTAGTTCATTCCAGTGCGAACGTTTACTGCGTAGTATGTGGCGCCCGATACCAGGGGATAGAACAGTAGCTCGTAGAATGCAGCTTTGTGATCGTCCGGCATCTGGTCGTATAGTGTTTTCGTTCCGCGCGCAAGCGTGTTCCATCTTGTCAGGACCGTTTCTGCTTCATGATAGTTCAGTACTGAGTACGTGTCTGGTTGAACCATCTCAAAGCGGCGCATTCCAATAAGATGGTTGAACTCCATCAGTAGAGCCGCAATGTCATCTGCATGTTCTATGCCGAACTCCCTCTCGGCGTAGAGGCGCAGATACTCCGGTATCAACTCGAAGTCGAACTTCGAGTTATCCCAAGCCAAGTCCATAGCGAATCCAAAAGGTAACTCCAAAGGCTTGATATCACCAACATTGATGACCCAAACCTGGTTCGCATCGCGCCAGTAAGCTTGCAAAAGCTCTTTCAACACTTTCGACTGCGTCTGTTAGGAAAAGATTGATCATGCAAGCTGCGCATACTGACCAAGCTGTTGGTATTTGACCACTTGTACGATCGCGGCCTACCAAAATACTCGAAGTGAAAGTAAACGCCGGCGCCGCCTTCCCTGGCAGTCTCGTTACCAGTGGGTAAGCGCAGAATTTGGCCATGGTTATCATCGGGCATGATGATAGTGACATCATCGGGAGGGTTAAGTCCGGCTGCGTAATAGGTCGCCACTTCCTTGTATATCGTCCATGCTTCTACACTTTGTCAGCGTGGTCTAAACTTATTGTCTCAAGGATTACACTTACGGTTCACTTTCTGATCACCTAGTACTTCTTTGAAGATCTGACGCTCTACTTCAAACACTTCTCGAAGTATCTCCAAGGCATCGTCACCAACTATCGCACTATCACTTGGGCCGCGCATACCCAGCGTCACAAAACTCTCGTTGTTTCCCATTCTACGAATACCCTCTTCCATAAAGCGCGTGACGTTGTCCTTGTTCAACCTCCAATCCCAGGACCCGGTCTCAGTTGCGTTCCACTCATTGGTGGCTCTTTGCATCGGCTCGTGATGACTGGTAGAGATTACGATACCGTAGTCGTTTGCGAGCTGCTGATTTCCTGGATCATCTGTAAAGAAAATTTGACCTGGGGCTGGTGTTGTCGATCCCCACATGGCAGGCCACAGGTAGTTGGCTTTCAACCGGAGTAGCAAATCGAACACGTGGGCGTAGAACTCGGTGTCGAGAGGATAGTAAGAGGAGTTGTGTCGTGCAGCCCACCATGTTACTAATGCTGGTGCTTCGTCGTTGATGAAGAGCCCCCTGTATTTGACTGATGGCGGGCCATGAACGGTGACTTTTGGCAGTGCGAAGATAGCGGCGTGTTTCTTGGTCGGCACATCCACCCACCAATGGTATCTGTCGTAACCCATCAATCGCCACCCAGAGTTGCACGATGGAAGCACTTACGGAGATTGTCCACTTTGTTCCGCAAGCGTGTGTACGCCGAAGATAGTACCACGTTTATCGCTGCCTACGATAACCAGCGCCCGTTCCAATCCAGCTAGTGGATTGGCTATCACTGCCGTTTTGAACACTTCCCATCTTCCATCTACGTCTGATATGTCGAGACCTTTCTCGGCAGACAGTTGACTAATGAGTCTCGACCCTACAGAGCCGACGATGATGCCCGTTGCTGAAGTCGAAATCGTAGAGTTGGTAGTGGCATTACTGAGCGCGGGTCGGGTTCCAGTGATCTGCTCGAAGTCGTCCACCAGGCTATTGAGCGCAATGTGAATACCCACGAAATCATCTGCATCAGCTATGACGGTAGCGCCAGCAACATCCAAGGCTTGACCTCCAGGCTCGAAGCCCACGAACTTCTCCTCGAGCAAAGCATGCACCGTGTGTTTCGAACAGGCACAGAAGGCCGCAAAAATCTTCACAACCCGCATCGCTGAAAGACGGGCAAGGTGTATATGCTCCCGGCTGAGCTACAAGTGATCAGTCTGAACATTATAACGACAATGTCGGTATAATGAAGACTGCGCGGGGAATCTCCCCGTATTGCGAATCCTTTCTGCGGAGGATCTCCAGCCGGATGTGAATTTCCAGCATCGTCATGCCAGCGATACAAAGTTCCCCAACTCTTGGCTATACAGCGGGGGGATATGCTCCTCCTTAGACTGCATGCAGGGCAACCGATGTGATCATCTGGGATCGCTAAACCCAGAGTGGGGTACAATTTGTCTGTCGAATCTATGAGCTCGGGTCAAAGCCATCCGCAACCGAATATTCTAGGTAGCGTAGATCGCGTACGCTGCATCGTAACACGGCTGCAAGTTCGATGAGAGCGGCAGATGGGTGCGAATTACGAACCGTTGCCAGCGCTGGAGCGCGTGTCTAGCGCGTTTTCTCCGCACTGCGCTCGATAGTTGATATTGGGCGAATTCGGATACTATCGTGATCGTGATCATGAATGAGCCTTGTGTGCATCAAATAGAGTCTGTGGTCACAGTAGAGCCTGGCGGTATTCTTCCGTGGTAGTTGGAAGCTGTCAAGTATATGGGATGGAATCGCGTTGCCGGCTGATGACGTCACGTGCTCTAGCGCCGGTAACGCGCCGAGCTTTCCAAGGTTCCAAGCTGGGGGTCGCGGAACCCGAACGCGTCCTTCCACTGCCTAACCCATTTTATCAGCATCCGTATCACGAAAATGTTTTTGCGATGTCTCTGCGCTATGCTTGCACTGTCTTGAGTCATCTGTATTTATTCCGAGTGTGTTTTGCAAGACCTGGGATTCGTCGCATTACGCCCATGGACCATCTCAATGACCAGCCCGAACCAAGACCAGGCCGCCGTTTGAGTTAACGTCGCACTCTATTCTTCTTTGATATTGAAGCGCTATACTTCGTGTGTGTCGCGAACTCCACAGCAACAGCTAACAAATTACCATATCAACTACCATGTACTATTACCCGATCTGGGCCTCGAGAAGCAGCTCGGCCCGCTGCACTTCAAGTCGAAGAAGTCCATCACCGTATCGGCATCCGTCGGGATATCATGCGTTACACTCCCTGCCTCGTACGCTTCGAACTTGTCGCCATACCGAAACCTCGTCCATCCTTCGAAAGGAACGTCCTCCGTAATCTCCGTCGGTTTCTGGCTCACGTCAAACACGCTCGTCCACTGTTTGATCTGCTCGCGGAAGTTCTGTGGATATAGTACGGTGTCTGCTGTGCCATGGAGAGTTTGGAACTTCGGTCGAAAGCCGCGATACGTGGGATATGCGTTGCGCACAAGAGCTGCCCATTGCGGTCCGTTCTTGACGATTTGGCCTTTAGCACACGCGTCACTCCAGACGTCGAAGCCGTCGCCAGCAAAGCAGCCGAAGGGTACACCGGCCCATGCGCTTCCTGCTGCGAATACATCTGGATAACTACCAATCAGGACTGCGGAGGTATGGAGTCAGCGTGTGTCTCACATGCATCTTATGCCGTCCGGTCTTACCGTTGGTCATCATCGCGCCTGAACTCGTTCCGGTAACGAACACGCGGTCTTTGTCTGCATGGTACTTTTCCAAAGTCCAGCGCACCATGGATACAATGCCTAGCGCGTCGCCTCCTCCATTGTGGGTGAGCGACTCTTGGCTACTCACATCCCAGCATTGATCCGTATTCAGCATTGAAGCATTGGGATAGATCGAGATAAACCCATATTCGTCACCAAGCGAAGCCCATGGCCGATAATCGAAGACCTGCTGCGCCGTACCTAAAGATGATTGTACGAAGTCAGTAAATGTCTCGCAGACAGTTCGTATACGGGATAATCCCACCATGGCACCAATGGGGAGACACCAAGATCGGGGGGTTTGGCGGCAGGTTGGCCGGCACGTAGATGAACATCGAGACATTGCGCGGGTTAGGGCCGAAGTCGGTGATCTCCGTGAGCTTGGAGGTGGGCTGCGCGGATGCCACAGCTGCGAAGAGCACAGGCAATATGGAGTTGAGGGCGAACATGGTGTCGACTGAGATGAAGGTTGACCGACCTAGTTCCGGAGTCCCTGCACCATGGAGGCTTCTTATAGCTATCCTCGACCGGAGTTCCACAGAAGCAAGTAGTACGGCGATCTATTCTGTACCCTTGCGCGTACATCTGAGCATGCTCTACGTACCAATCATTCGTCTAGCCCTATCACGACACGGAGGAGAACTTATATTAACCAGCTTCTATCCTGCGATATTTCTCCGCAGCTGTTCCCCGTTAGCGTCAATTCCAAGCCTTGGATATATCCACAACATGCATACGCCGGAATGCCCAGATCACATGCTATCGGCTGGACGCTCTAGTTTGTGCGAGAGCGCGGACGTGCCAAGCATGCAGTGGACTATTTTTCGTCGCGCAATTATTCATTCTTCCACCATGGTCACTGTGAAACGCTCCTGCGACCGCAATCGGGATTTCACAGCGCGCGATTCAACTCTCTTTATAGAACAGACGACTCCACTGGCACGATCTATATGTCCCCTTTCACAATGTCACAATGCATCGCAATATGGCCTCAATACGTAAATACCTCGAGTATGTCCGTTCTGGTCAGAAGGGAGTCATACTCTGGATCAACCGGAGGCCTTGTTACCATTTTTATACATCGCGACAACGATGTTACCCTTGACACAAGATGAAGTCTTCCGGCAAATCAAACAAAAGGCCAAGCGCAAGCAACACGAAAAGACGGCGTTCACCTCTGGCGTTGTCACTAAGCTCCTGAAAGACCTGTACAATCCCGACCTACAGGGTAGCCTATTCTTCTACTCTCAGGACGAAAGCGGTATTCCCAGACGTAAAGTAGCTACACACGCAGCGAACCGAAAACATTACTGCTCGGTCGCTCTGGAAACCGCGTTCAACGCAGAACATTGGCATGACCAGACTAAGCCAGCAGCCTTCCGAGGTAACTGCCCTCCCAGCACAATTGAGGGTCTTATTGGAGACGTTGACGAGACCGAGTCCTGCATCGAGCCATGCCCCAATTGCGAAGCACCAGAAGATGTCGCACATTGTATGTGTGGATACAATGCATGGGTCAAGTATCTGCATGGCTTCTGGCTCTCTCACTTACTGCTACAGGACGTCGGTTCGCGCGGTCACGGTGTTTTTGCGCGCAAGGTGATTCACGACTCTACCATTGTAGGAGAGTATACAGGCCAGATCATACCTTTCAAAGACGATGGAACTCCAGCTCATGGACGAGATGCTTATCGCGTCGGGATCTCGATCGGTAAACCAAACTTTGACCAAACTCAGACACACGCCACAGCTTCTATAGACGCTCTTCATACCGGAGGTGTGACTCGCTTCATCAACCACTCTTGCAATCCGAATACGGAATTTGTAGAGATGGTGTGTTCTTTGGAGCGTCGAGCCGTTTATGTAGTCACAAAGCGAAAAGTCGCTATCGGCGAAGAGCTGACACTAGACTACGGTTCGAAATGGTTCAAGGGCGACCAGTACTGTCTTTGTAATACGGCTGACTGTATGAACCCACGTAAGATATCTGAGGATGCCGATGCATCCGAGGTAAAGGTCAGCGAAGATGAGACCGCGGACGAAGGTGGGGACGAGGATGATCCGGAGGATGCCTCGACAGCGTCGGATGATAGCGCAAATTCCAGCGAAGCATCTGACATATATGCTCATAGCCCTGGTTTTTGAGTAGCTAACACGGATTCCTTGACTTGTATGGAAAGAATGAGATGTCCGCGTTCAATATACCAAAGAGCCCTCCTTCCGTTGATCAAAAGTGGGTTGGCGATCTTCTCTTACTTGGAAGCCTCAACTGTAACTAACTACCCAAACTCAAGCTTGGTCGCGCGTCCATACGAAGGCTACGTCAAGAGTGCGCGGAACTCAAGATCGGCTGAGTTAGGCCGTCGCCCGGGCAGACAGCTATTCGGCCCTTCTCCACGTGGATCGTCATTCGGAGGTAACGGAACAATGACAACCCGAAAACTGGGGATCCTGAACGCGGTCGGAGGTGCCGACATGAGATGATAAAATGACAACGGGCGTTCTCCGGTCGCCCAACTCGACCCCGAAGTCTCTCCATTCGCGAGATCATGTGCGCACGAGCTCTTCCGATAGAATCGTCCTTGTATTGCGCCGATTGGGACTACCTAGTAACGGTTGCCCTTAGCGCAATGCGTGGGGTACAATAACTTGCTATGGCAAGCTTTGTTCCTCATCTCACACGATCTCAATCACAGCTGGACCAGATTGTGCTGCAAAATGGCTAGCCGGCATCAGCCCTCTCTTTTGCGACTGCTCTTTTGGCTGACGGTCTTCGAGTCGGCACCATTCGTTTTGTCGACTTCCAATCATGGCAGATCTCAAGAACCGTTATGGATTATGGTCGACCCCTTGATCGGCACAGTGGGCCCCAAACCTGGTTCCGCCATCGCAGGCGGTAATTCCTTTCCCGGCGCAAGTTTACCATGGGCGATGGCAAAGCCAGGCATCGACACGAGCTACATTGGGCTTCCGAATGGCAGTGCAGTGGACGCCAATGCTGGATACACGCCTTTGGGGAATGTAACAGCAGTGAGCATGACGCACGTCAGCGGATCTGGCGGAGCTCCAACCTGTCAGTCCTCTGCTTGCGCCAATGAGGCGCCTACGAGTATTAACAAGATCTAGATGGATTGATCTCGCAGATGCCGCTGTATGGCAGCCTCGAGTCTATTAACCTTGCCGACAACATGACTTATGCCCAGAACCGCAGTCTGGAACTGGAGTCCGCAACAGTGGGCCTCTTCACTACGACTCTACAGAACGGCATCAAGATCGAGATCACTTCTGGTAACCATACCGGATTCATGCGATACACCTTCCCTCAACCAGAAGTCATTTTAAACAATCTCTCCACTGTCAATGTTGATTCCACGATGACCGGAGCCCTGTCAGCCAGCGAGCACGATGCGCACGTCCTAGTCGACCTCACACACGTGTTGCCAGCTTATTCTTCGATGGCATACTCTCAAAAGTTCCTGCACGGGCAGCTACATGTCGGGTCTTCCTCGAACGGATTGCCATCATACCATGGATCAGCGACCTACACGGGTGGCTGGCCGCAGCCTGAAAGTCATACAATCCATTTCTGCGGGAACTTTAGTGTGCCTGCAGGATCTGTGCTCACCCCAACATCCGACTATGTTCAGGGAGAACTTCCCAGTACTCCCGGCGCTGGCACGTTTAGCTGGCAGTACAACCCTTATTCGCCACCAAGCTTCAAGTCTCGCCCCGTGCCGCGCGCGTATGCTGACGTCCGGTCCTATGCTGGGAGCGGAATGGGCCTTGGCGCTCTTTTCAGCTGGTCGCCTAAGGAGCAGCGAGTCAATGGCACCCTTACTCTTGAGGCCAAATTGGGCATTTCGTACATTAGTGCTGCACAGGCATGCTCTCACGTGGAAAATGAGCTTCCTGATGCGAAATCCTTCGAGGATGTCGTTGACGAAGGAAGGCAAGTATGGGAAGAGAAAATCTTGAGCAAAATTCAGATCGGAGACGATGGCCATTCGACAAGCAACAATAAAACTTTGAAGAGGATGCTTTACTCCGGGTTATATCAGACAGGCCTGATGCCAACCGACAAAACTGGCGAATGCCCTAATTGGGAGTCAAACGAAGCTAAGCCATACTACGATGACCATTATACGCTTTGGGACACTTATCGTACCCTGCTACCCTTGTATCACCTGGTCTTCACGAAGCCGTACTCACGCATTCTTTCTGGTCTCATTTCTATCTTCACTGAAGAGGGTTACCTCCCCGCCGGTCGCGCAGCAAACTGGAACGGTCGCGTTCAGGGCGGCACGCACGCAGACATGGTGTTAGCGGACGCTTTCGTCAAGAGCGTCCATGCACTTGCCGGCGAGACTGGTCGAGGCGAGCTCGACAGCGGAATCGATTGGCAAGAGGCCTACAAGGCAGTGATGAAAGACGCGAACGTATTGCCCGAGCGCAATGTTGATCCGGTTGCTTTTGACGGCGCCACCAAGGAAGGCAGAGGAGCACTGGACGATTATCTCTCCCTTCGCTTCATTACGCGCAACCACACCCGCAGTGTTTCTCGTGGCGTTGAGTACCCGCAGAACGACTTCGCGATCTACAGCATGGCAGATGGACTTATGAAGTCCCAGGAAGACGTCGATCAGATGCGCGAACGAGCAAGCTGGTGGCAGAATCAATGGAATCCCATAGCAAACACAACTCTCAACGGCACGGGTACGTTCACTGGCTTCCCAGGCCCTAGAAACGCGGATGGGACGTGGAACACCACTGCGTATGACCCGCTGAGCTGCGGAACATGCGGTTGGGACGCAGACATCTACGAAGCCAAGGTTTGGGAGACTGCATTCAGTGTCGCACCACACGACATGGCCAAAGTCATAGATCTGATGGGCGGTGACGATGCTTTCGTCCGTCGGCTAGACGCCTCTTTCATTCCAGGCTTTGGTACATCAGTCGGCGCAAACAACGATGCGGGCTCCGCTCTCTTCAACCCTGGAAACGAACCATCCTTCGCAACGCCATTCCTATACAACTACGTCCCTGGCATGAACTGGATGACAGTCAATCGGACTCGAGCTATCGTCGACGACTTCTATAGCGACGACCGTAACGGATACCCCGGAAACATCGACGGTGGTGCTTTACCCAGTTGGTTGGTGTTCAATCTCATGGGCATGTATCCGGTGTCTGCCCAGCCGCTCTACCTTCTTTCTGCTCCCCGGTTCTCTTGGCTCAAGATCTCGCTCTTTAGTGGAACGGCAGTCGAGACGTCGTTGACTATCCGGGCCCAGAATCTGTCAAGCACAAGCTATTACCCGCAGAAGGTTACCTGGAACGGGCAGGAACTCGATCGAGCTTGGTTGAAGCATAGCGAGATTGCAGAAGGAGGCGAGTTGGTGTTCTATATGGGTGAAGAGCCTAAGAAGTGGGATGTTGGTGAGCGGCCGTGGTCACTGTCGACGTCTTCGATGTAGGTAGGCATTGTCATATGAGTTGCAATCTAGAAGAAAAGCTTTTAGGGTGGAAATATACATTGTATTGAAAGTCATCTAGTCTTCAAAGTTCAACAGCGTGAATGCAGCAAGAGGCGACAAGAGTTCAGGGCCCTTCACCTTACCAGCCAGCTTGCCCTCCATTAACCAAGAGGGTGTCAACGAGCTTTCCTTCCCAGAAAGCTTCGATAGTAACCAGCCCAGTCGGTACATCGGGCAAGACAATCTGCCCCTCGCACATTGTACATACCCTGCTTTTCTGTATCACTTCACTCAGTACCATATTCATCCCACTCATCTTCGGCGCCAACGTGCCACGCTGCGTTATCGGGGCGGAAATGTGGATAGTCAAATCTGCACACGAGCTCTTTTGGCAGTCGGCAACTGTCACATTGAGTGCTGTGCCGCTCAGGACTGTCAGGCTTGGAACAACAAACGCCTGGCTATTGATCCCAAAAGTCTGTTCCAGTACGTTAGGCGCCTGGACGGAGAAAAACGTGGCATTTTGGATGGCGGGTCCAGAAAGCGAGAACGGGAAGTAAGTTGTAGTTCCGTATTCACCACCACTGCGACCAAAAACCGAGCTGCCTGTCTCATTCTCTGGTTCAAGTTCTGTTTCGTGGTGGCTGATGCGAAAGGTTAGTGATTGCGGTGGTGAGTTACCTGCCGGTGTCAGGATTCTGATCTTTCCCGAAAGCGTCAACCTCCCATCCTGGTCGAAGTCAAAGGTCGTGTTGAACGGCTTGAACGGCATAATAGCAATCGATTCGCTGAGCTGAACACCAGCAGGCACAGTATTGATGGCGCGACCCATGAGCTCGGCACACGTATCGAGAAATCCAACTCCTTGTGCGAAGAGAGTGCGCATCGTCGCATTCTTATCGCTCTCGTAAAGCCGTTTATCGGAATTCATCGTGTCGTTATACGACATGACTAGCGGTCCTCCTTTTTTTCCCGTTCCGTTCAAGTATTCGCCGAGGACATTTGGATCGAAGACGCCGCGTGTAGTGTCGAAATTACTACCGCCATTCGTGTTACTGGGCGTGACGAAGCTCTCGTCTACAGCCTCCGGGAAGCCGCCCTACATGGATGAGTAAGCATTGTCCAATCGAATAGCAGCCAGAAACCTACGTGGTGTACGCTACCCAGAGTGTGTCCGCAAGCCGTGAGCCCAATAGCATCCACCTTGTCGAACCCTGCGCGCTCGAAGAAAAGTAGTGTCTCTTCTAGATCCGTCTCTGGTGCCGGGACGCCCGTAGTCTTTCCTGCTTCGAACGCATCAACGCGGCCAGGTCGAAATGGCATCTGCGCGCCTCCGCAGAGATTATTCGACATAACTGTACCGAGTGCAACGAGATCAGCCACTACCGCTTCGTCAGTACCAGTTCCATCATCAATGACCCATCAAAAGCGATGCACTCACTAGAAATCCCCTCCCCGACAAACGGCCTCCAGAACGAAAAGCTATCATTAAACGCACTCCCCTTATTCTCTTCCCTCGCCGTCTCGAATCCAATACTAGCATCAATACCTCCCGTGCCCGCACTCACATTCGCGGTGATAAAGTCGTGGAACATGACGCGCATCCATTGGGCAGCGGTGGTGCGACCACTATTGAGCCCTGTAGTACCGGTCTGCGAAACATAATTCGTGCAAGGGGTGATTGCGGAGGAGAAATTGGAAGCATAAGCGCCCCAGTTGTCGACGAGGATGTGTTCGAGGAAGGAGATGGCGGGTGTGGGATAGTAGAACGCGGCGCGTGTGATTGGGACAGTGGAGAGGATTGAGAGGGAAAAGGTGATGGAGTCGAAGAGTAGCATTTTCGCTTGTAGGCAGGCACTGAAACTGTGACTAGGATACTAGTGGTATTCCAGAGTATAATGACGGTATTTCATCTTATATATCGTCTTCGTTCCATACTGTGTCGGCTGATTTTGGAATATTTCCTCTTCGAGATGCAGTGCTACATGGCAGCTATCAAGTGATCCAGATCTTCAGAATACTGCCTCATGCACGACTACCGCTCAAGATTTAATCGGGGGCAGTATATGATTGGCTGCGTAGACAACACCGATCCAGCCTGCATGATTGGGCGTGCTTAGATAAGCCACGGTAAGCTGACATTCTTCTACCGCCATCTGCCTCTTAGGAATTTCAGAGTTGAAGTTTTCCCATCGAACTTCATACTCTGCCTGCAGCCCACAAGCTACCCAACTTGAGCCATCGCGTGGCGATAAGAGCTACGGCACCCACACCCATTACGCCTGCCGCGCAGAACCACACACCCTTGAAGTTTTCTACCGCGCCATTCCCCTCGCCCTTGAGTGCGCCCATGGCAGGGTTACCGAGCAGCCCGCCGAAAGCAGCAACAAGATACGCCAATCCGAGACGTACGCCAATTGAGGCCTTGTTGGGAGAGAGATTCGTAATTGTGGGCCCAGGGATAATTATCACGCCGCCAGAAAGGAAGCCGTACACGATGCTGATAGCGATGAGACCGTTCAATTCCTGAGCGAGGGGTAGCATGCAAAGGGTGATGATGCAGGCGACGGTGAGAGGAAGTAGGGTGTTAACACCGCCGTACCTAAACTTGTGAGTACTGGGCTATTGCGAAGTTGAATGATGAGAACGTACCTGTCGGCGATGAAGTTTGGAACAAAACGCCCAAAGATATTGGCGGCGTTCATGATCGACAACAGGTTGAATGCCATATCCTTCGACACACCGAGCTTGATAGCGTACTCCTGGATGAAGAAGAACGGCACAAACGAGGACGCGACGAACAGCGTGAATACGACGACAAAGAAGGTGTATGGCAGATCTTTGAAGTGGTGAAAGCCAAAGCTGCAGCCCTTGGATCCGTACTGAAGCTGCAAGCGCATCACCACAAAAGCGACGGCGTTGGTCACCAATATGATGAGCGCAAAGATGCGAACAGCCCACGTGAACCCGACGCTGAGGAAGAGCGAGCGCAAGGAGAGAGTGTAGGCGATACCAGCAACGCTAGCACCAGTCGATGCAAGACCAGTAGCCAGCATACGTTTCTTCTCGAAGAACATGGCTAGTACAGCGACGGGCACTATCGCCATCAAACCGCTGCCAATGCCCATGCACACTCCCTGAGCGAAGAAGATGGCCCAATAGCTCTTGAAGAAAGAAGTCAGGATCAAACCCAGTACCTCGAGGCCCGTGCCAACAGCGATGATACTTTTGAGGTATCCCCGATCAAGCAGCGCACCGCCTGGCAAGCAACCGATAGTAGTGAAGAAAAGCTGAATCGATCCGATCCAGGCAATACGCGACGCGTCCTGCTCCGGCATCAAGGTGTCGACGTAGTATGTTTGGAAAACACCGAATGCATTCGGTAAGCCCCAACTGTTCGCGAACAGAATAAATCCACCAAGAACCTGCATCCACGCCACTTTGCCATGATCAACAGGGTAATCTTCATTAGCTTGCGCACTCGCTGTGATCTCGTGCGAAAGCAGCTGTTGTGTTCTTTCACGCTGCGTCTCGTGGTATGAGAGCAAACTCTCTCTTTCGGGATCCATGGTTTTTGTATGGGAATCTGTAGGGTATTTCGATAGTGATGATAGTGCCTAATAATTGGGCGCTGGTGTGTAAGCTGGCCGTGCCATGTAGCAACTGGATTTTCTCAGGGTCGATGCTGGATGGGGCGCTAGCGGGTAGCATGCCGCGGAGGATCGTCACTTTTAGTCATGAAACTGCAGGTACAGGTCCGAGCGGTGAAGGTAATCGCGCAAGCGAGGCACGATTTCGTTTGCTGCGAAGCCGGGAGCAAACAACACGAATCAGGAATAATGGAGACATCAAAGGATGTTTGTGCAGCATGCATGAGTAGTTCAATTGAGGACGCCCTGAAATGGTGGTTTAGTTTACATTCGGCACCTGTAGCCACTCTGGCCACATCACAGGCGCCTTCGCCTTGTTCTCTTCACTTCCTTCGTCGTCACGAGGGTAACTCCCTATCCGATGCCAGACCACCTAAAAGAGATCCGACACTCTGAACAAAGCCTATCTACCTGAGTTCTTCCTGAGCAGGACCCTGTGCAACACCAGCTATCCGTGCAGACTGTGAGAGTGTGCACACACATATCACCACGGTCAAGAGGCAGAGCGCACCACCGTAGGCCAGTCCGAATCCGGTAAGACGACGAGAGAATATGTCACGCCAGGTGACGACCTTGCCCGGCTTATATGACGAGTCGACCAACCATCTAGCATCTTCTAATCCGGCCCTGAATCGTTCCATGTCGGCCTTTGTGAGACTGATCATGATCTCGTACGGCTCTCCTTCTTGTCCTTCTTTGTCTTCTTCTCTGGGCAAGACCACGATGCCACCTTCGCTGACCCACGCCGCTCGCCGAATAGCAGTCGCATTTGACTTGCTCGTGCCTGGGATGCACCACTCCCTGTCAGCTCCCATCCTTTGCCAACTAGTGATGTATAGGTCCGGGCCTTTGGGAAACTTTAAAAGGGATTGCTGCGCTTCGGCAGGGTTGGTAAGGACGCTGTTGATCTGGGTGACTGCCCATGTCGCGTTGATGGCGTGCAGAGCGTCTGTGATTTTGGCTGCGATGTCCTCAAGAGAGGCCGCAGCACCATCGAGATCCAAGGTGGGCGTAGCAGACAGTACCAGGTTGCCGAGATAATCTGGGGATGAGAAGGGCAGTGGAAGGAACTTTCTGAGGTCCACAACGACGGCAAGGGTCGACTGCGTGTTACCCGAAGCGGTGATCGACTTTGAGCGAGCGCGTATAACATTTGCCCAGACGATGGCTGACAGTGCGGTGAAATTAGATACACGCTTCCCGATCTTGATGGATAGGTCGTTGCGAAACTCTTCGATAGCTTGCGATGAGAAGCGAAACATCTCGGCAACGACTTTGTTGGGTCCTTCATCCGGTCCTTTGCGGAGCTCAAAGCGCCTCGCGAATGGCTTCTCAGGTGTATTAGTAGACTGGCCTGCTGCATCGGCTTCCTGAACCAGCGTTGCGAGCGCTTGACGCGCTGATGACGGATCTGGTACGACGTTCCATTCCTTGACGATATCCTTCAATGGTTGAAGCTGGTCCTTGTAGCTTGGCACGCGATAGTATCTAGCAGGCGGACGAACTGGCGGCAGTTTGTTCTTTTCAGTATTAAGAGCTCGTACCGCATCGGACCATATCTTTTGAATCCTTCCGTTACCAGTGCCATCGATAACGGCATGATACCACCAGGCGCTCAATATCAGACCTCCAGGAATGAAAGTAGCCTGGGCCGCGAAGATTGGCAAAGGTCCTTTCGAAAAGCTGGTCATCCTTTCGGCATACGCGTCTTCGCCCAATCCAGCGTGATGTTTGAGTTCGTTTGGGCAGAAGATAGTAGCGGGCAACTCGTCTGGGAGGAAGGCGTCCTTCGCAAGCGAATCGTAGTCATGCTGTGCATCGTCGTAACTGACTGTGAATATACGGCGTGCTTCAGCTTCTAGATCGATGGGGTCGGGGTATTGCACACGGAGAAGGTCGGTAGAGGGGTCTAAGTCCACAGTGCCAGCAAGATATGGAAACTTTCTCAGAACTTCTTTGAAGCCATTGTGCAGCGCCTCTTTTGCTTCATGGGCGCGACTGATGTCCGGAAAGGGAAAGATGATGTAGTAGCGGCCATACACGCGTATGTGGGGCTGCTGATCGAGGTGAGATAACTCTAACTCTTTTGGAATGCCGGTTGACATTGCGGGGGTAGTGGTCGGGAGAAGTTGACGAAAGTAGGCTTTCTTCGTGTTGGGCTGGATTCGGAGGCGAAGGCTTTTAGGGTCCGTTGCAGTGGAAGGTCGGTGGTCGAAGCGCAGGTAGCTGTGCGAGAATCTCCAAGGGCACTCCATGAAAACCTACCGGCGAGTATAAATGCTTCGCGGTGCTGTGAAGTCGCACTCTGTAGAGGTGAAACAGGTGAATGCATTGCCTTGTGCGTTGTATTGACTCTTCGATGTGATGGTACTGGTGAAGGCATCTCGGTGCGTTGGCAGTTGCAGACGGATGCTCTGATTGATATGCAATACATAACAAACAAAAAGCATGGAACCCAAATCTCCGAGCTTTGACATCGTTCCGAACATGCACTGGCGATCCTATTGCACGGTGTGCTTGCCGACACTAGAGCTATTGGGCACGGTGCGCGAACCGTTGCCCGAGTCGCGTGGCATGATATTCAGCGGTTGGCACAGATTAGCTTCATGCCGCATGTCGCTCGAGCCCGATCATAGCGGACTGATCGACCTGCCCGCCCAACACACCAGCCTTTTGCAGTATGCCAACGGTCTTGTCGACGACCTCCTTGTCAACGCCCTTCACATCTTTGGCAAAGCGAACAGTTTTCAACCACTCTCGCGCGTCCTCTTCAGAGTAATCGAGCTTGGTGCTGATATACTGGACGGCCTCTTCCTGGTTTGCTTCAAAGTGTTTGACTCCCTTATTGATCTTGTCCATGACGTCCTCGAGTTCCCCAGTAAGCACTGGCTTGCTGGCGTTGGGTGCCGAACTCCAGTTCTTCGGGTTCAATAGATGGTTTGCGGCGACGATCTTCCACGAGGACCAGGGTGTGTAGATCTCGCCGATGCGCTTGATCTCGCCGTTGTCGTAGTAGCGCTTCGACGTGAAGTGCTCCCACATAAAGAAGTCGGCCGTGCTGTCGTTGACTCCATCGCGGAGGTTCGCAAACGTGTTCAGCACCTCGACGGGGAATGGTGGGCTGTTGGACGAAGTGTCGAGCCACCCTTGCTGGTCGGCAAGCACGAAGCTCATCACGTAGCTGCCGCTTCCTATCCTGGACACGCCGACTTTCTTGCCTTTGAGGTCTTGTATTCCGTTGAGCTCATCCCTCTTGGCGCCTGTGGATATGGCCCAGCACAGCGGAGTCTCGACGTATGTCCCCACCACGCTGAAGCCAGCGTCCTGCTTAGCCGCCTGTGTTTTTCCCAGTGCCGCTATCCAGCCTTCGGTAAGGCCAACTCCGATATCGATTTCGTCGGCTTGCAGCGCCGTGACCATGTGCCCTGTGCCACTGGGGAACGGGAGGAGCTTCGCGTCGAGGCCGTAGTGCTTCTTCGCGAACTCGAGCGGTGTGGAGAAGTGTTCTATTTCCGTCAGCGGGCGATGCAACAGTATTAATGACGCGCCTACCTGGCACGAAGCCGATGCGCAGTGGTGCCATGGCTGCAATCTTGGTTGAGAAGCTTCGGACTGGTCGTGGGGCTGGTGAAACGCGTGCAAGTCGCAGTGTGCGTAGCATTGCTAGGTAGGAACTGGAGGAGAGGAGATGACTACGGCAATGAGGGCTGTATCGGTCAAGGAGTGTGAGTTAATAAAGTTTGGTTAGGGCCGAATCGTCACTTACCACCGGTGGTATGCGCAAGCTCATGTTACATGAAGCTGCCCGAGGTCGATGCTCGCCTAGTTCCGCTCGGAAGGCCATTCCGACCAGCTCCGATCTTCGCGTTCCACCTCGATATGTCGGCGTCATTCCTTATCACCAACTTCTTCCCATGGTTTTCTTGCTGTTTTCGAGATACTCCGTTCCTAGAATTTCTGTTGCGTCCTCGCGTACTTGGCTCTCATTCCGTCATTCCTGTCCTATCGCCCTCTCCAAATTTGCTACGATGTCTTCCGATAGCAGTAGAACATCAATAAGAGCTAGGACGATAGCCATTGTAGGCGCTGGACCATCGGGTGTGGCGGCAGCAAAATACCTCCGAGCTGAGAAGGCTTTTGATAAGATCGTGCTGTTTGAACAACGGAGTCGATCAGGTGGGATCTGGATATATACAGGCGAACAGCGGGACGAGAATCTCTTCGACATACCTCAGACCAACCCCAATAAAGACGTTCAAAAACCAGAGTGGCAATCCAAAGATGCAGTAATGAATGGGAACATTGGTACGAATGGCATCAACGGAACTTCGAAAATTCCCTCCTTTTTGTCGCCAATGTACGAAAAGCTCGAAACGAATATACCTAGAGGACTAATGGGCTTCCAAGACCTGGATTGGCCCGCGGATAGTCAACTCTTTCCTACTCATGAAACAGTACTAATGTATATCGACGATTACTCCGCGGATGTACAAGACCTTGTTCGTTACTGTACACAAGTCATCAATGTCAGTCCAGTAGACCCCGATGTCGCTAGCAGCCCATGGAAAGTGACTACGCGTAACCTCCTAAACGACGAAGACGTGTCCGAAGTCTACGATGCGGTTATTATAGCGAATGGCCACTTCATAGTTCCCTACATACCACCCATGGCCGGTATCAAAGAGTGGGCTGCACAGCACCCCGGTCGCATTAGCCATTCGAAGTATTACCGGAAGCCCGAGGACTTTACCGGAAAGAAGACAATAGTGGTGGGAAACTCAGCGTCTGGTGCAGACGTCAGCGCCCAGATCGCTGAGTTCTGTCAAAAGCCGTTGTTGTGGTCGACTAGGTCGCGATCCATGTTCAGCGCAACCCACGGAACAGCAGGCGAAGACCAGAAGAGACGAGAAGTTCTGCCC